ACAGTTACACCAAAATATCAAGTTACAAGACATCAAACGCACCCTTGTTTCCCAAACATTGGCCAGATGCACCCACCTTCAAACTGCACAACGATCTAACCTTCACGAAGAGGGACTGGTGGTTTTCAAGACTGACCTTCCAAAATCCCTACCCTCTTCTTCACTTGCTCGTCTTGCGGACAGCAACATCGAGAAGCAAATGTTGTTAAGTTCGAACACGGGAGTTTGTTAGATTGAAACGCGTGAGGTTGTTATAAAACGCTCGTGCAATGTGGGATAACAGTACATTTGGCTCGTCTGCATAGCCCACCGCAAACATGAATTTGGCAAAACGCTGATATTCTTAAAAGTGAATATATAAAAAAAATAAAACCTTGCTTTCACTTGTTTTCTTCTCGTGGTGTCCTTTCATCACAGCATTCATATTCGTATGTTGCCATTTGACAGGATAGATAAAAAAAAAATATAGTTTGATCTAAGTAAATATGATAATTAGCAAAATACAAGTGTAAGTTGAATATGTAACGTATATGTAACGATACCTTCCAGTTTTTAAATTGTAACGGGAACGAGTTCTTTTCTCACAGATGGAACTTGTAACGGGAACGCGTTCCAAAAATCAAGAGGAACGAGGAACGAGCTTCCGTTCCTTTTTTTGAGGACCGTTTACAACACTGCCTACATTGAAAAACTATTGCCAAATAAAAAAAACAAAAAACGAGCTTGTATTTTTTGATCGGTGATTGGCTGGCCGCGAGCGGCGTGGCAGAACCATCTACTGCGTCAGACTGTCAGATATTTTTTTTGAAGATGAACTGACAGCCTTTGATTTATCACAAAACTTCCGCTGCGCAAAATGTTTTCTTAGAATTTCACGTAAACATGAATGTATAGTTTCGCGGCGGTAATTTCCTAGGCTACTTCTTGGAAGGACCAACACCGCACATGCATGGATCTGGGGCAGCAAGCTACACGGCTGGACCAATCGGGGCCAATTGCGACCGGGACAGCGCCGCGCTGCTGCTGATCAGTCGAAGCGGGCGACGCTGTCCGGTCGCTTGGTCCCGATTCGTCCCGTCATGTAGCTTACTGGCCCCTTGTCGAGCAACTCAAACTCTGGTGGTCTCATATCGAGGAAAAATGTGGCATTTATATAGACAGGAATTTATATTTCGCCAACGAATCACTATAATCCGGCCCTCTCATGTGCTGTCGCGCATTGTAAATGCCAACATTTCACAAATTTAAGGCTGGCTTCTCTGAGGTCTTTGGTGCAGCGTGCGGCGCCGGCCGTTTATTCATAAATGTTTTCTTCGCGTGTTTCGCGGTTTATTATGTACAAATACGTTCGTGCCCATAGAGTGTATCTCAGTGGTATAGTGTGACTAGTGTTTACCAAAATGGCATAATAAGGTTTCGGCCAAGCTGTTTTACAAATGTAATGTTCGAACTTCTGACTCTGACGTCTTTGTATGTTATTTGTCTGAACTGATCATTTTTCTGACTCCTACGAAATCTTCACCGGTAGATTTAATAACAATAAATAAATGATACATCTCTCACCTGTGCGACGCGTTTTTGTTTTCGGCATTTTTTTCTCGGAATATTTATGGCCTTGTAGAGGGATAACTTTTTCATTTATGAAATTTTGAATTTTTTCCCTCCTCGTTTAGAATCTCGAAATAAAAGATTATTTAAAATAAAGATTCCTCAAATAAATATTCCACGATTTAATGCGAAAACAATTGTCCAATTTAGCGGCAGGTTCGTCAAATTTGAAGCGCCTGTTGTGTACTTTACATTCAAGACTGCACTTGGGTACTCTCGTACGCAAGCAGCAACGCCAAAGAACTTAGTCTGGTTACCTTGGGTAAATAAACGCTTTGGGGGCACCAACAGTGGGCACGTATTTAGCGAGTCTTGACTATCAGACAATATATGCACACCAGTGGAAAGATGGAGCGCCCAGGAACCATACTCGCAAACGTAAATTGGTTCAAGCCTTAAAAGACTGCCCCCAAAACAAAAACACGGAAGGAGATCTCACTGAGTTTGGCTCCACCTTGCAGATGGCTCGATCGACGGTCATCCTCATGGAATCGGACAAGCCGAGCGGTAAAGTCATCAGTGGTCGCCTTCGGCTTTTTTTATATAGATCGTTTCCGCATGCTCGTACGTCCATCACGAGATTGCTTCGGCGGACGAGACACCGAGTATCCATTGAACCATTTACCTACTCACTTGGACACCCTGTACCTCCGGCAGCGTAGCGTTCATTCTCGTTTGATATTGTCCACATAAAGTGTTCTCACGTAATAAAGTTCTCAAGATGTATGCATAGCACGTTGAATGCAGCTGCTGTTCAAAACTACTTCTACGCACAACGCGATTTTTTTTTTTTTTTTTTTAGTGAGCGTTGCTTTTAGGCGCCTGTTTCGGGGTTGAGCGGCGTCGCCGTCGCCGTCACCATCGGCATAACCGCGCATTGCACTATGGGACGTTTCCCATAATTACGTCACACGTGACGTCACACGTGACGTCACGTGTAACATCACGAGGGTCACGAGTGACGTAACACGGGCATACCCTCCCCTCCTCCTCCTCAAGAGCTGCGCTCTAATTCGGCATTACGAGGAATTGTAAACGCCTCTCATTTTTTTTTCTCCTTGTATTCGCCTAATCTACAAATCATGAGTGGTCCAGGTTTCGGTGTTTGGTTTCTGCTGTCACGTTTACTTGCAGCATGTTTCCACACCAGCTCCGTATTTCTTTTTTTGTCATGTTTTGTGTTATGTGTGTGCTCATGTTTCTGTGTATGGGCGTATCGAGAAGTGCCTAAAGCTCCGTTAGGCATCTGTCTTCGACCATTTAGCCAACTTTCTGGATCGGGGTCCGAATAATCAAATAAAATTGATGTCACAAGAAGACGAAAAAAGTTTTGAGCGATACACGCGAGTAACACGTTCTTTAAAAACTCGGTCATCGTTAAGGAGCTGCCGGCGCTTGTCGGGATCATGCTGACTTGTGCGATACTCATTACAAGTAATAAAATTACCTGTAACCGATTACTTTTTGAAGTAAATTTGAATTATTTCAGTACATTTACTTGTTAGTAATCGCAAGAATAATCTGATTGCTTTTAGAGGTACGAAACTTACTTGTAACCGTTGCTATTTTTCCCCTTTCTTTCCTAATGACAGCACCTTTTCGTACGAGTTTTCTTCCAAGAAATGCTCGAACTAAGTGTCCTACAGGGGGAGGATTTATCAACATTGGTAAATTAATGGAGATAAGTATTTATAATTCCGTGATTTCAATTCCAGAAAGGGTAGCAGAGAAGACCCGTTTTCAAAGCGGCAGAGAAATTGGTCGTTTTAAAAATCTGAAGTTATCGGAAAAGTAACGGTCACTTTTTCAAGTAACGGCAAATTAATTTTTTTAAGTAATATAGTAATCTAATTGAATACGCTTTAACCTGTAGTAATTATAATTGAAATCGATTACCTTTTTCCAGTAACGTGTCGAAGGCTAATTGCGCTCTCTAACAGTGATTTAGCTACAGTCGTTGAGAGCCTGAGACACGCGGGGCGTGGTTTATTAATTTTTAGGCTTTATGCATCGTGATTCGGCGTTCTTGCCGGCTCATGCTGCAATATCATTAGGGACTTTTTAGCTAACCGTTACCGTGTTCCGCGTACCGCGCTATTGGAGCCCTTGAAGCATGCTTTTACGCGCGCGCCCGGCCGCGGTCACGGTGTCACTCCGGACGCACACTTAAAAGCATGCTTCAAAGGCTAAAGTAATGCGGTACGCGGAACGCGGTAACGGTTTGCTAAAAGTCTCTATTCACTGTAGAGCGCTGTTAAGATGCTCGGGCCGTCCTGCGTTTCTTGAACTCTGAGTGACTATATAGACGGCCAACATTTGGCAAAAACTTTCACCTCAAGTAAGGAATGAGAACAAGAAAGGTTACGATCCTGCTCTTTTTTGTCTATTTTTATTCTTTCGGGTGTTACGAATGAATTTCGAATACATCCCGGTCAAAACTTGAAAGATAAAGTTCGGAGCAATGAGTTTTGGTCTTAAAGGACACATGGTTGTCATATGCAGCCCACCTACGCATTTGCCTAAAAATAAAAAGCCGAGCCTCGTGGCAAGGAACCTTTGCCGAAGATCTCGATGACGTTTGAGCGTAATCACTCGAAGCGACTGCAGCATCCATGGGAGCGGCAGGTTGTGAACATCTCTCGGGTGACCTTTGCCAGCCATTAAAAAAAAAAAAAGATAAAAAATAAAATGACTCGAAAGTTTTTGCCAGAAGAATAGCAGCCTGATGACTTGGTATTATAGTCGGTGACAGGTTAGGAACCCAACACACTCGTGACCTTCCGCCGGGCTTTGGGTACAAGTGCGACAAAGTAGCTACAAAAGGCAGATAACTCGCGCTCGAAGCGGTTAACCTACCCTTTTCCGACTGTATCCTCTTTCAGCTTACGATGGACCGCAGGAGATGCCATAACGAATCCGGCGGTTTGGGTTTGGGTGTGTCACGTGACCCGACGCACTGCGCTTCTCGCTATGCTTATCCAGAATGTCCCGTGCGACATTCATATGGCATTGGACTGGCTCCGATGGCTTGTAGCATCCGTTGCGGTTCATCGTAAACTTAAACGGAGTATGTAGTGGGTACCACAACGCTGCTACAACTTTCAGGTGGCTTCATGTCAGAGCATGCACGGTCGTGTTCGATGCGAGAAGGTCCCACGAAATGACACCTTGTTTGTTGCGATATATCTTAAACACCTTATATCAAAATTTTCCCGACCCTCCATAGCAATTTGTTAGCACGCTGTTAAGCTACTGATTCAGAAAAGGTGTAGGAAATTTAGGTGGTTTCACTGATTTTACACAAAGAACATTTCATTCCGGAAGGGTTGGTGTGTACAGCTCTCAGCGACATCGAATGAACTTGAGTGTAAATAAAGAGTTTAACGACCGCGTATAGCCAGCAAGTTCGTTTTATTAATGCAAGCTACGAGAGCAACAAGGTCAGTCTTACTTTTTTTAAGATTTTGTTTTTTAATAAAGTTAAGGTTACGCACAGCACACAAAGGACGAGAGCCTGCTAAAAATAAAACGAATCCAAGGTATCCTGCAACTAAAAATAAATCTGAAGCGAAACAGAAATGTATGCAATACAAAATATCAGCAATACAAGCACAATATCAAGAGCCGACACTGAATGCAGACCAACCGGTCACAGTTGCACAAAGTGGGATTTGATTGCTTCGTTTCGCACTTTATTCAGGTTGCTGCCTCAGTAACAAGACACCGTGTTTGCGGCAAGCCAGTACATTCCTTCGAGGTACCGAAATCTTTATTTATTTATTTCTTTTCGTGTGTTTTTCTCTTAAATGCGGAATCGTTACTCTCGGCACTCTGCACCGTTCAACACGATCCAGACGGACGAGGAAAAGACGGGAAAGAAGAACGCGCGCGTCCCAAAAGACTCGGAAAAAGTATTGCAGCCAGGCACCGAAGCGTAGACGCCTCTTCAGCGCAAACTCCACCAACGGGTGCCTTCAGAAAGGAGGACACAGCTTGAACTGCGAAGAACATTGCAGGCTTCCGAGGAAACTACCACCAAATTGCGAACAATAAAGTTATCGTTTCTTCAGCGCTGCGGCATCCTGTTCCGCGAACACCGTCTGCGGTTGATGGTGCGGCTCAGCGCCGTCTTCCATGGTCCTCTTGCCAGGGCCGCCGAGAAATTCCGAGTACCTCTTGCCCGGACCTCCGAGGAACTCAGAGTAGCGTTTTCCGGGTCCACCCAGGAATTCGGAGTACCTCTTGCCGGGCCCTCCGAGAAACTCGGAGTAACGTTTCCCGGGTCCGCCCAGGAACTCGGAAAGTCGCTTGTTCTGGCGTGGTCTGAGAACTTCCATGAGCCAGTCCATTTCCCGACTGGGGACTCTCTGCCTGGCGTTCGTGAAAGGGCTACCTCCCGTGTACAGCTGCTGGAGGCTGCGACTCAGCGTTCCGTCTGAATCTAGGAGAAAGCACCGTCGTGTGTTAGGCCTCACCAAGGGTAAATCCGGATTAGGTTTGACGATAGAAGTGCGAGCATGGAAGCCAAGGAAAGTGCACTCTAACGCCAGCGCGTTGGGCATAAACTGGGCATTGAATGGAGGGTTTCGAGTTATCTGTAGCTTTATTCACATCCTATTCAAGATCTCAGGCGTGATTTGTTTAGAAGTGAAGAGTAATTCTCTTCTAAAGAAATCTATTTCTTTTACAGTTGATTTTTAAGAATGACATAGCCCTTGCCGACACTGGTCTGGCCTCAACTGGTTTATATATATATATATATATAAAATAAGTACAGTACTTAATTGGCCTTACTGTGCACTTCCCTTTGTAGCAACAAATGTAAAAAAAAAAAAACTTTAACATTTTAGTAGAGCAGAAAAAAATTACGCTGTGCTAGCGCGTACTGAACAGCCGTGTATCCTTTTCAACCAAAAATGCACGCTGCCGCTGTTAGAAAACGCTATTCAGAGTGTGGCCATTGGTTAAATTTCCACCATTCAAAGCTACCATAAAGGCTGCATCACACACACAAAAAAAAAATACTTCGAGACCTAAGATAGTTTTCTTTTTTTAAAGAGTGAAGTAAAACTGAGCGTAGAATTAAGGTGCTGAAGGCAAGAATCTTGCTCGCATATTGTAAAAATGTAGGTATATGTTCTGAAGATGGATACATTACATTGCTGAAACAAATAAATGGCTTATAGGTCTTATTAGTTGGTGTTTAGTGTAGATTTAGTCCGTTTTTGCTTGTTAACGTGGCAAGCACACATGCGCGCGTTGAAAAGTTTAATGGTGGGTTGATTAGGGCGAGTTTAGTTCGCAGTTGAGTACTTACGTGTTGAACAGCGATGACCGAGCCTTACAAAATGTTCATGCAATTCCTTGAACAAAAGAAAATATAAAGAATTGTCAAACACTTTCATTGGGGTTCGTGCATGAAACCATATTTTAACGTTTTGATTAGTTAGAGAGGTATTCGTGCAATTTAGCCATGCTAACAGCTTCATTTTAGCATTTCACTGAGCGCGTTGTTTTAGCCTGTTAGAGTCACTATTTAGGCAGGAGTAAAATTTAAAGTTATGTTTAGGATTATACTTTTATTAACTCTAAACCAGTTCACGTTTATGTTGTGTATTGTTTAGGCTGAACACTATCGTTTATTTAGATTAAATCGTTTAGATGGCAACAGGACATCCCAGTGCCGGGACTTTACACGCAAGATCAGCGAGCTACCAGAAGTATGTTCAGAAAGACTTCACAAACCAACCCCATTAGTTAACCCGCCAAGTTAAAACAAGGTATCTGTTGTTTGTTTTTTTGTTCCTTTTTTATAGCTTCGGCGAGGTTTCCCAGAACAGAGCTTTTGGGGCTTGCATGCAATGGCGTCATGCATTGTTAGGCTAAATCTATTATGAACGAGTTTGCAGAAGGCCCCATTGACGCATAATAAGGATACCTCGTTGGGAAGTTAAAGGGAACCTGTTTCAAATTCGGCCTTTCGTCTGACGTCACTTAATGTAGCATTCACACCTCGCGTCTCGTGAAGACGGCAGTGCGGGACACGGTAGAATAAAAGAGAGAGGTGTCATGAACGTCTTCACCTCGACCATGGAACAAGTGCATCGAAGGTTTGCTCGCATTTCTGACAAACGCCGTGAGATGGCGCAGCACGTCGAGGGTAGTAGGAGACCTATGAGAGCCGCGCTAGGGCGCCGCGCGACGCGCTACCGCGCCTGCGCGAAGGCCCCTAAACCGACAGTGCTCCTGCCGGAAGATGCGCGAAGCCTGAGCATAGTTCTGCCGCATTGGTTGACTTTGTCCAGACACCCCTCTATTCTTTCACCGTGGTACGAGACACCCGGCCAAGGCTACCTCGTTCACGCGTCGAGGGGACCGACAACAGGTGGCGGAAAGTCTCCATGGACTGCGTCCCTCTTCCGTCGGCCGAGGAACTCCGAGCCCATCCTCTTCTGAACCAGGTCTGCGGACGAGCGTTTGCCCAAAAACTCGGAACCTATGCGCTTCTGCTTGGCGAAGAGCGCGGCGGCGCTTAGGTCCGACATGAGGGGCGACGCCTCGAGGGCGTCGTCGTCGTCTTCCAGGGCTCCGAGCCGGTTCAGCGCAGCCGCCGTGCGTAGGAAGCGGACTCGGGCTGCGGAGGGTCTCGGTTGCCCGTCCTCTTCCCAAAGACCCGAGATCAGGTCTGCTGCGTCCATTCGAGAACGCTTGCCGAGAAATTCCGAGCCCATCCTCTTAGCTGCGCACAAGGGAGAACATGTGGCCAGGGGGGACAGGACGGCCTCGCTCTGGTGCGCCAATGTTATTACGTTGGCCTGTTTTCGGAAGCCAACTTTAGTCCGCTGTTGTGGCTTTCTCTCACTCTACACCGGTGTACTCGAAGACGAGACTGAAGAGGAAGCTAATCAATCGCTGGCACTGAATCTGAGACTCGGAGTCAAGAGTTTAAAGGTTGAGTCAGTCATAGCTTTCGTTTATAAAATAGAGAAACGAGGTGCAGGACTCCATAGTTACTGTCATGCAACAACAGACCGAGGAAAATTCACAATGATCTAATTACTACCGATACTCTTACTACAATAACCGCATCACATATTATATGGACTATATTACTCAAAAACTAATTCCGAACTGACAAGGGCCATCTCAATTCTCCCTACCCTGGCATTCTTAACATTGACTAAAGTGACGTCCTTCAGTGTCTTTTCTTGGTGGCGCCCTCCTATGGTTCCCTCTCGTGACGTCATTGCCTCGCGAACAACAAGTTCGATGGTGTTTGCAATGAGCATGGTCAAAACTTGAAATCGTAGCGCTCTGAAAGCAGTACTGCCAACACCGTTAAAATTGAAGTTCTTACATTACTCTTATTTCCGTCGATGGGAAATCATTTGCTGACGTCATAGTCAGTATTCGTCAAATCGTGGCAGGCCGACCATAGCGACGCTTTCGATAGCTCACGTCGCCAATAGATCTTTCCAAGAAAGGGCTCCTGGCCGGTTCCATTTTCAGTGTTCGTGCGTATGGTGCGTGATTTGCTCGCTTTCCGAAGCGGCGAACATAGGCGTGCTAAGCTGAGGAGATCGCACGCTTTGCTGAGAACTTTGTAAACATCGGAATTGTGTATAAAGCCGGGGCCAGACTGCTTATAAATTATACAAAAGACAGTCTGCACACATACTCGAACGCGAGTCGCCGCGAGATCCATGCTTCGAGTGCTGCATGACAATGAGTTCAAGGAGAAAACTTGGCACGCGGCATTCGAACCACGGATATTGCCAAGACTCCATTGTGTTTGCAGACTGTCTCTTGTGTGATATATGAGCCTTGTGACCTCGGCTTCAGAGTCACACACTGGAATGCATCGGCTGTCGGAGCGACAAAAATAAGACAGGACCGCGTCCCCCGTCCTCAAAGTAACGGAGGATGATGTTAGCCGCATGAATTCCTGCGTCATCCGGATGGCCTGGATAATTAATAATACTCTTTCAGCTAAATTTTGGCGTGCCAAATGAATAGCTAGACATCTGACACGGGACAGCGCACCCTGCCTGTATTCACGGGGGGGCGCACATATGGGACGGGGTGGACACTCCCCTCCCATTTTCAGGATGAACCGAGTAGAACTGCATATTTTCTGGCCTCTCTTCGCACGTTTTGGGCTTGGCATTACGTCAGAGACTGAGGACATGGGACTGCGGGGAATACACAAAAAAGGCGAGCGGAATGCTTATCACAATGAAGAGCAGAATGCAGCAAAGAGAAAAAGCAAAAATGTTGACTATGAAAATAATGGCAATGGTAAAGATGACGACGATCCTTCTTTATGGTGTGGTAACATGCTTTGAGGTGTTGACCGCAATGATTGATAGAACTCTGACGGCTTCCAGCTCATATTGTTGAAAAATAACTCATTTTGAGATTTCTGAGTTCTCCAGCTCCCCCACTCGGTGACAATAAAGGAAGAAGATTAAAGGGGTTTAAAGGAAGATTAAGCAATATTTTTTTTTGTCTTAAATTCAGGCTTTGTGGAGTCTATAACCATGGCCGGTATGTCTTAATCTTCTCAAAATGTTGCGCTCATCCTACGATAGCGGAAGCTCATAAAATGTGGTCAAGTTCACGCAGCTTAACTCGCGATGAAGGGGTGATATCCTGACGTGAATCGAAAAGGATTCATCGCCGTATTCTGCATTGTGGCATTTGTCGTATGCTATTTTTTTTTTATTTGAGCCTATGGACATACGAGACAACGTAAGGTAAAATTGGGCGTTTCATAATATAGCCTACACGCGGCTATTTATCAAAAAGACCGATCGTAGCAATTTATAGCAGGCGACCGACGACAAATGAGAAGGCACAGATAGTATTTAGACCCAAAACAGATACTTCCGCAGTCATGGAATGTAATCCCTCAGCAATTCTTCCGCACATAACAGAGATTTGCGGTTTCTAGATTTCACGGTATTGCCGTTTGATGTCGATACCTACTCCTTAGTGAAAATATACAGGCTACTGCAGGTGGACGTGCCGCGCTTCTACAGCTTCGCTTCGGCTCCTTCAATGTATTGACCTTACAAAATCAATGGCGTCGACCTTTACGCAATCTGTTTCCTCGAGCTATTTATAAAGATTAAAGCCTTTGAGCTAGAGTCAAGGCGCTCCTTCCTTGTCGAAGTAGACATGTAAGTAACGCGTGACTATAGTAACGAGTTACTTCTACCTAGTTACTTTTTTCGGTAACGAGTAACGTACTTTGTTATTTTGTTTAAAAAAGGAACGAGTAACATACTTAGCTACTTTTAAAGCTAAGTAACGAGTAACGGTATTACGTTACTTTGGAGGAATAGCATGTATAAGAACCGTTTAAACAGCCTCGTTTTAATTCGAACCTGAGTATGCGTCTAACGCGACAAAGGCAGATGGACAACCCGAAAACAATTAAACAGTGTGACAGTATAGCAACGTTTACCGCTGAACACTTCGGTCGAACTTTGCAACAGGAGATGTCCTTCACCCAGCGAACGCAATAAGGTTCGCTGCTTGAACATTCTAGGTTCGTCTATACAGACCGAATGTAAACACGGGGGTTGTCAACACAGGAAGGCACAGAACCCATTGTCAACTTCGAGAACAAAAGAGAGAGGGGAATCCCAGATTCACCACGTCAGCTGTTTAGCGTCGCCGGAGATGTATTCTCAAAGAAGCGGGGAAATAAATCCGAGGAAAACTTGGAGAGGCAGCTACAGCTTAAATGCAACGACTATACTAAAAAGAAAACAACAAAATATGAAACAAAAGCAGTTGTATATTTGGTTGTGAAAGTTACGAGAAAAGTAACTCGTGACATTTGAGGTAACCTAACGCGTTCCTTTGAGAATCGCTAACGATTATCGATTTAGTTACTTTTTGAGCAAGTAACGGAATTTAGTTACTTTTTTGGGGTTACCTGTGCATATGTGTCGAAGGCCCCAAGTGTCGGCCTACCGGGTCTAGCTCCTTTGAAAACAGCAACAGTGACTAGAAGCAGCACCACCCAGAGGACAAACGGGGAAGAGGAGGTGCCATGTATAATAGAGATACAGTCCTTGGAAAGGATATTTTCCTGCTTCTTTGTGTGTACCGAAGCGTCGCCAGCAATATGGCCCTACCGGGTCCAACATGGGACCTCCGCATCTATGCTCCGCCGTTCCGAAGCGGCCGAAATGCATATGACATTTCCCAGTAGATTAATATATTAACTCTATGGGATATCTCCCTGACATAATACCTCACGACGACCAATCGCCGGAAGGCCGCACGTAAATGGGGTATACCGACCGCGGGAATGCCGCACTGTAATCAGCGTCGAATATCCGGCATAGTTTTGCGACAACCATCCAAACTAATATTATCATTTCGTTGCGGACAACGGACAGCAGGGATATTTCAGCATTCGCCGGCACAGCGTCAACTCGCGGTATGTGATGACGTAGATAAAGTCTAGGCTCTATGGTGAGGAAGGGTATATTCCCTGCGTAAGGCTGTAGTGATAGTATCTCTGTGTGTTGTAATACTGTTTTGAATTAAATTTCCGCCTCGCCTCGCCAACTGAACAAGTTGAGAGACAGCTTCGAGCGATTGTCGCAGGACCGTGAAGATGTTTGATATTGAGTAACGCGACGCTATCGGGCTTTCAAAAAAAAAGTATGATTTTATTTATTGAGTGTTAATTTAGTTTAGGACTTAAGAGAAATGTGTACATACACGTGCTTTGTATTGCAATGTTCTGTCGCCACCATTGACAGAGGTTCACGTTTCGTTGATAACTACATTGAGTAGGATTAACAGAAATGTTCACACGCCACATTAATCATTACTTAGCAAGTTTGGTCATACTTTCTTATTGCAGTTTATTTCGTTTTGCGTATTGCGCAAAATATGGCTCATGTTTTTTTTTTTTTCAGTTTTTTTAAAGCTTTTCTTCAAAAACGCTCAGCAACGAAAAATAAAGCCCATAAATTTTCAGTCTCAAGCCTGTGCGCATGAGGGCGTGTGCACATGCGTGCGAGATGTTATTTGTTTTTATTCGTAGTTAAAGTGCCTTAACGAGTGAGGAAGTCTCCCTATTCTTCTTTCAGTACTTACTCTACTCATACTCGTACATGACAATGCATACGTATATATTCGGGGGTCTGTGTGTACTAATGTATACACTGCGCGACACTGTGAGCGCGAACAAGACATCGGCACTTTTGTGCATTCTACTCATTGAGGATATAGAAAAGCCTCAAACTTTACCGCTTCGGTTAATGCCCTGAATAAGGATTTACCTTCACAACAGTACCTTTTGTAGCACCCGTTCAGTTTTTGATACAAAAACAGTAAAAATTGGCGATCGCTTGTTCGCACTAAGAGTGTCACACTGTGTACATCTGCGCACTATAAAAAATATAAGAATAAATAAAGGAACGTGAGCTTAGTTTTTTGCAGAACTCAAGAGAGCGAATCGCGGCGAACAATAAAAAAGTCCCACCAAATGAGAAAGCTTAAAAATAAAAAAATAAAGCGATGTGCGCGTTGCCCCGGGGAACATCACAGTTTTGAAAGAAAGTCGTTCTCAACTTCGTCGTTCGTTGGGATCCTTCACTTCTTCGTTGTGATTGGCTGTCCCGGTGTTCCGGAGAAAAGCAAACTCGCAGACTCTTTTTAGAGTGCGTGTGCGAGTGTGCGCCACGTGCGTCAAACAATGCGCTCTCTCCG